TCTTTGCAACCACTCAAAGCGCTTTTACACAACATCGCATTCACCATTCACACACATTCATACACCGATGGAACAGCCACCAGGGGCAGTTTAGGGTTCAGTGTCTTGCCCAAGGACACTTCGACATACACTACCGTTCAAAAGTTTGGGGTCACATTGAAATGTCCTTATTTTTGAAGGAAAAGCACTGTACTTTTCAATGAAGATAACTTTAAACTAGTCTTAACTTTGAAGAAATACACTCTATACATTGCTAATGTGGTAAATGACTATTCTAGCTGCAAATGTCTGGTTTTTGGTGCAATATCTACATAGGTGTATAGAGGCCCATTTCCAGCAACTATCACTCCAGTGTTCTAATGGTACAATGTGTTTGCTCATTGGCTCAGAAGGCTAATTGATGATTAGAAAACCCTTGTGCAATCATGTTCACACATCTGAAAACAGTTTAGGTCGTTACAGAAGCTACAAAACTGACCTTCCTTTGAGCAGATTGAGTTTCTGGAGCATCACATTTGTGGGGTCAATTAAACGCTCAAAATGGCCAGAAAAACAGAACTTTCATCTGAAACTCGACAGTCTATTCTTGTTCTTAGAAATGAAGGCTATTCCATGCGAGACATTGCTAAGAAATTGAAGATTTCCTACAACGGTGTGTACTACTCCCTTCAGAGGACAGCACAAACAGGCTCTAACCAGAGTAGAAAAAGAAGTGGGAGGCCGCGTTGCACAACTGAGCAAGAAGATAAGTACATTAGAGTCTCTAGTTTGAGAAACAGACGCCTCACAGGTCCCCAACTGGCATCTTCATTAAATAGTACCCGCAAAACACCAGTGTCAACATCTACAGTGAAGAGGCGGCTGCGGGATTCTGGGCTTCAGGGCAGAGTGGCAAAGAAAAAGCCATATCTGAGACTGGCCAATAAAAGAAAAAGATTAAGATGGGCAAAAGAACACAGACATTGGACAGAGGAAGACTGGAAAAAAGTGTTGTGGACGGATGAATCCAAGTTTGAGGTGTTTGGATCACAAAGAAGAACGTTTGTGAGACGCAGAACAAATGAAAAGATGCTGGAAGAATGCCTGACGCCATCTGTTAAGCATGGTGGAGGTAATATGATGGTCTGGGGTTGCTTTGGTGCTGGTAAGGTGGGAGATTTGTACAGGGTAAAAGGGATTCTGAATAAGGAAGGCTATCACTCCATTTTGCAACGCCATGCCATACCCAGTGGACAGCGCTTGATTGGAGCCAATTTCATCCTACAACAGGACAATGACCCTAAACACACCTCCAAATTGTGCAAGAACTATTTAGAGCAGAAGCAGGCAGCTGGTATTCTATCGGTAATGGAGTGGCCAGCGCAGTCACCAGATCTGAACCCCATTGAGCTGTTGTGGGAGCAGCTTGACCGTATGGTACGCAAGAAGTGCCCATCCAACCAATCCAAATTGTGGGAGCTGCTTCTGGAAGTGTGGGGTGCAATTTCTCCAGATTACCTCAACAAATTAACAGCTAGAATGCCAAAGGTCTGCAATGCTGTAATTGCTGCAAATGGAGGATTCTTTGACGAAAGCAAAGTTTGATGTAAAAAAGATCTTATTTCAAATACAAATCATTATTTCTAACCTTGTCAATGTCTTGACTCCATTTTCTATTCATTTCACAACGTATGGTGGTGAATAAGTGTGACTTTTCAGGAAAACACAAAATTGTTTGGGTGACCCCAAACTTTTGAACGGTAGTGTAGGTAGCATGAATCAACAGAACATCAGGCCACTCCAAGCACTGCTCTTTAACTGAGAGTGTGTCTGTTTTCAGTGATTACACATGGGCTGGCGCTTAAAATGATACATCAAACCCTTTCAATAATAATTCAAACACTTCAGTTTGTGCGTCTATGGTGGGTAGACACGGACCCGCTAAGGGGGTCCGGGGTCATGCCAGCGTGGATGAAAAATGTGTACATTTTAAAATTAATTTGGTACATTTTAAACACGAAATAAAGTGGCTAGATCTATGAAGCACTTTGCAGTCTTGTTAACAGTTTTGTTCCCCAGTAAACAATCTGATCAAAACACACTGTATAGATTTAAATGATGATGAAACAGCAGCTTTGTTTACAACTGCAGTTCTCTGTGCAAACAGGAAATGTTTCTAGTTAATGTATTAAGACTTTGAGTCAAAGAGAGTATCCAGTAGGGTTGGGCGATGTCTACAATGAAACATCGGGATGAACGATGGCATCGTCTATCGGCCCAACCCTAGTATCCAGCTGACTATCATGGGTAGGAGGATTGAAGAAGACCCGGCTGCCTGTAAGAGGGTCATTACTGTAACCACCTAGAGCCTCTAATGCCACACACACACACACACACACACACACACACACACACCCCCTAGCTTTCCCATAAAGAATGACCACTAAACTGAACAGCCTCTCCCTTACCGGGCCCAGCCAGCTAGACTACATGGAGCATTCGGGAGGTGGCCACACACACAGAGTCAACCTTAACCCACCAGCAGGGGGTTTTAGGGCCATGTTTTTACTATTTGTAGGAACTTAGCTTGGTTGTTATTTCACTGTTTTAATTATACTTCATTCTCCACCTTATTTAAGTGTCATTCGCTTGTTGAATCTGCCTCCTTAAGTTCTCTTCACACTCAACTCACACTCGGGTAACGAAACCGCGCTCAGCTGCCTCCCAGTGAAGGCGGCATGAACGGGACCGAACACAGAGACAAACAGGGAAAATAGTACTGAGGTGATTTACAGAGTTTCCTGACGAACAGAACATTTACTTTTTGCTAAACCGCTAACATAACTGTATCTGTAGCTAGTTAGCTCAGTTAGCTGTCCTATTAGCTGAGTCAGCCCCGGGGTGCCAAACCCAAACCCGGCAAGAAAACCACCTCGGTCCTGTATTCCCCGTGGTGGCCTCTCTCGGTCTCAGAGGCCGAGTTCGGTCCCAGTCTGGCCGCAGTGTTCACTCACTGAGAGAGAAGCTAACCACTCTGCACAGCACAGAGCAGTCTACATGACGGGGAGGGGGCGTAACATACATTCAGGCTATTGGCTACTGTAAACGCCAATCAATAAGTCCCTCCCTGTCTTCATGTTTTTATGCAGAAGCAAAGAGCACATCAATGGGAAAATCAAATAACAAATTGTATATTAAATTTAAAAAATGAACAAAACGAATGAGCTCTTTGTTGTTTGAATGGATCATTAGTCAACCTTGTATATTGTGTATGGATTAATATAGTGTTATTTTTCTCTTTTAAACCAACAAACCAATAACAGAAACAAAATAAACTTAAAATCTAACATGAAAATTAATGGTGATAAGATCGTGAATCATGATCCTGCCTGCAATAAATCATGTTCCACCCCTACTGTATACACACAGATTAAACAGTTAGATAAGGAGCTGGCGGCAGAGACTGATCTGCTTTATGCAAAACATTTTAAAAATCTGAATGTATAGGTCTCAGCATGTACGCCATCAAATTAATCGTTTAATCATTTAATGAAGCCAAACACACAGTAGCTTCCGTTATCCACAGTAAAAAAGCTAATCCTACCATACTACTTCAGGAGCTAACGCTAGCCACCGTTGACGTAACTTTAACGTTAGCCTAAAGTGACCTATGTAGAACAAATAACCTAACGTACACGCGTGTCACATTCTGTAATGCATGTGATTTAGTTGTACAATATTAACAGCCGTAGCTATTCTGACGGCGAACATACACCAAGACCCACGCATTCAGACTTTTCTCAATGTTTTGGATAATGCTAATCAGTCACCTACTGTTGCCACAGTGTATACTGTAGCCAGAACAACAGAGAGGGCATCAAGTTACGTCCTGTGGGGGACGCACAGATAAAAAACCTCTCTCATTTATGGTTATATTTCCTGTCCTGACAGTGGAGCTGAACTGAGAGTGGAGTCTGCACCGGAAGAGACTCCACAGTGGAGGTCTGCAAGTTATGCTGCGTTCCAGGGAATTTGGAACAGGGAAATTTCGGAACTACAAAAAGTACTATGTAATGCCACTTTAAGTCGGATTTCTAACTTGTGAACTCACTACTTGCTCCATGTGTACTGTAAGGAGATAGGGAGCATGCTGAAATTCTATATTATAACATCTTTATTTAAGATTTATGGGTGTGGAAATAGGCCACGCTTGATGGTCATGTGCACAGAGAAAATATGTACCCCCGACTTCACGAGTAGCAGCTGAATGACGTCACACAACAGTGGCAGCTCCCATGGGAGCACACATTGTAAATGGAAAACCATAAACTAAAAGGCAAAGTATTAAACTAAAATAATACTTACCAGTATCAAATAGTAAAACTTGATCTGCATGTAAATTGATGTAGAAATATTTTGTCAATGTTATTAGGTAGTTGGTTACAGTAAACAATCTCTGAAAGTCATCCTCTCCACCCAAAAGTTATTCAGGAAAATGTTAAAATGCCCAGAAATGTGAAAACATTTGGAAATGACTTTTGAGGATTACCAACTTAAGTAGCTAGAAGGATACACAGTTAAGGAGCAACGTATAGCCTATTGATCCATCCTTTTAATTACCACCAAGTGCACTGCTGAGGGTTTAACTGTGCATAAACTTAAACATACGTTTGTCACGGTCAGCCATGTTTATTGTTTACATTTGGCGTCAGGGAAGTCAGATATTTCAACTTGGAAATTTCCCACTTCCCAGCGGTGTGGAACGCGCATTAGACCCCTTTCAAACGTTTTGAGATTCGCCCCGGGTGTAACGTTAGTGACCAGCTATTGGCTGGCCGGCATGCACCTCACAGCCTGAACGAAGCACCACCGTCACTTCGGGCAGGTTTTCATGACGCATATGCACACTCTTAAGTTCGATGAAATGACCACTTGACAAAACGTGTTCACGGTATGGCAAAGTTATTAGATGTTACCAAATGTAACGTAACGCATGTCAAACAGAGTACAGTGCCACTTACTCCGACATTTTCGCTCTTGCTCGGGTAAGAGGCCAGTCTTCCTCCGCCTTTCACCGGCATCCTGCTTCTCCTCGAGTCGGCTGAACAGGCGCCTTGTGGTCGTGGTTAAAGCCAGAGCCGTGTGGATTTAGACGGTAGTCCGCGTTGTGGCTACTTACTGAAATGAAACGTATATTTGTGACAGCCAGGCCAGCTCCGCCCTCGTCGCAGCTAGGTCGGTGTTTTGGGGCGGACAGCACCCTGGGGCCAGCAGGCAGAAAGAGGGAGGTCCGTCCGAGCAGCACAACTGTCGGCTCACGCTGCAGCTTGACAGCACAACAGTCATGGACATTCCCACTTCCTGTTTCCTTCAAACGTTTTGTTGTTTTTGCTGGAAGCAGCAAATGTGAACGGCTGCTCAGCACTATGGTGAACACCGTCCCCGCTGTGGTAATCTCTGTTCAGGCTCAGTTCACCACACGGCTCTCACACCTCTAACGTTCTTTTCTCGCGCAGTAAAAACACATGTATGAACTGCGCTCCAGATGACAGCGGCTGACTTTCGCCGACTTAATAGTCGAACTGTAGCTGCAGACGACTGCAGGGGCGGGGAATAAAAACTTGACAGACAACAAAACTGGGAGTACAGAGGCCTGTGGATTTGAGCTTATCCAACTGCGGGGTTTTCGGCTCCATGAGCGTGGTTCACTTCTTACCGAGGTAGATGTCCACGGTCCGTGTAGGTGAGAACTATGAAAATTGGTGGTGGTTGAGGTGAGGCCCCCCCACTTTCCCCCCCACACGTTTTGAGTTTCAATGATAAAGCGCTATATAAATGTAATGGATTATTATTATTAAATGAACAAACGAGACAACCCCGTTTTTGGTTTCTGAATCCAAAAATGAAAAAGACTAGACAGCACTAACGTTATACCAGGGTGACGTTAGATTCAAATAAATAAACCTGGACCAAGAGAAATAAGTTAGTAACAGTAGTTGATTACAGTTATTAACATTGCGCATTTATTCAAACAGCAAGAGTCACGTTTTTTTAAGCGTATGGTTTGGTGCAGTACAGTTGGTAGGCTAATATAGGTAAACCCAAGAAATGATTGTGTGTGCAGAGTTGTTACTGCTATATTTTTAATATTAAATTCATATTTAATGTGGTTTCCACTGTAATGAACCAAGCTGTTCCCCCTTTCTACCAGCAGGTGGCAGTATTTAGATGAAGGCCTGGGGCCTGTACCATGAAGTGAGAATACATACCCAGGATATGTTTTCGTTATCTGGCTTAACTAACCCTAACAATCGCGATCGGGATAAGCGGTACCACGAAGCTGGTTATCAACTCGGTAAGTCAACCCAGGGTTTTCAAATTCAGCCGTGAGCCTGTTCACATAAAAGAGGCGGTGTTAGTAGCAGATGACCAATCACAGACATGAACAAGTCCACTGTCAGCAGAGCGTCATATTTTATGAACCAGGATTAAACCGTAACACTACAGAAATACGACAGTAGCACGCCTGTAGCTGACACATGCGGGGAGACAGAAAATCGCAGACACATACAATGTGTGAATGCCTAAATAAACAGGCGTAGGCATAGTCTATAATGTTGCGTTGATTTAAAGTGTTCTTATGAGCTGTATGAAAATATCAGCTTTATTCTTTTCAGCTCAGCTGTGTGTTGGCGTCTCCACATTAAAAGACTCAGGCACTGAATAAGTGGTCTTCCACCACACTAAAAAACTTGTTGTCACTTAAAAAATGAGATTAATTTATTTAACTCACTCAAAAGTGTCCAAACATTGTTCTAAATTAACTTCATAAAGTAATTAAACGAAAACTTTATTCATGCCATAAAATGAGCTCAAATAGTGTCTGAAAGACTGAATCTCAACATGACTACAGTCTCTGTAGTAGGCCCAAGACAGCCTACGTTCATATTAAATTTTAGTATTTCAATAACCCCACAAAACTCATAATATTCAGCCTCACATAAGAAAAATAAAACCCATTTATTATAATGGCTGCGTCAGGGTGTGTGAAACAGACTGGGAGCAAATAAAAAATATTAAATAATAATAATATTCAAAGCAGTAAGTAGGCTTATCCTGCTGTACTGTAAAAACCTGTAGGCAACAACAGCCTAAGGCTTTTAATCAGTCTCTGTAGGATTATATCGCTATAGTTAAGAGTTTTCAGTGGTTCTGAAAACCCGTGCTCCGTGGTGCAGGCCTCTGGTTTGTGTCTTTAGTAAATGTTTTGAATCCAGATTACTAATATATTTGTATTTATTGTTGTTCATTTCATTTGGGTTTTGATATTTATGTCTTATTTGCAGCCTAGTTTCCATCTTCATCATTCACCCTCAGCTCTGACAACAAACTCCCATCAGAAATGTCCTAATGTAGGCCTTCTGACCAGTGTGCTATATCCTGTGAGAATCTTTCTTCTCCATACACATTCCAGTGTCTAAAATACAAAACTCCCATTGTGTCATGCAAGTGAAGACAATCCATACAAGTTTTTCCATAGAACATTTATTCAACATAAATAGCACATACATGCTTTTAGTACAGCTGCAGAACTGTGAAGCTGTAAGGCAAGAACATTTTATGAGGTCCTCAAAAGAAAGATAACATAACATAATTAAATTATTAAAAACAGGCAGTCAATGTTGAGTATGTCAGCAATAACTGCAACAAAACGTTTTGGGTAACTTTTGAACAGTCCTGCTCATTAACTTGGACAAATCTTTGCCCATTCCTCTGTACAGAACAGCTTCAACTCTTGGATGTTGGCGGATTTCCTCACATGAGCTGCTCGCTTCCTCATCCTTCCACAACATTTCGATCATTTTAAGGTCAGGACTTTTGACTTGGCCTTTCTAAAACATTCACTTTATTCTTCACTTTATAGAGAAATTGAGTTTGTAACTCCCTTCTGCTACATCACAGACAATATACATGAATAAAAAATCAATTATAAAAATGGTAAACAAAAATAAACTATCATCAGTGGAGCAGTGCTGAGGATGAATTAGAGTTTAAGAGTCTGATAGTTTGGGGGAAGAAGCTGCTCTGCAGTCTGGTGGTGTGGCAGCAGAAACTTCTAGATCTCTTCCCAGAAGGCAGCAGGGTGAACAGGCTGTGGCTGGGTGGGTGCTGTCCTTTAGTATCCTTTGGGCTCTGTAGGCACCTCACCTCACCGCATGCTTTCTATTGCTCCTCTGTAAAAGCTGACAAGAACTTGGCCTTGGTGTGGGAATTTGGCCTTCTTAAGCTGCCTCAAGAAATCCAGTCGTTTCTGAGCTTTCTTCACCAGCGTGGAGATGTGAGACGACCATGTCAGGTTCTCTGTGATGCTGATTCCCAGGAACCTGAAGCTGTTCACCTGCTGCACCTCAGCTCCACTGATGTAGACAGGAGTGTGTGTCTTTATCTCCTTCTTCCTGAAATCAATGATCAGCTCGTTGGTTTTGCAGCAGGTTGTTCTCTGAGCACCACTCCGCAAGATTATGAATTTCCTCCCGATATGAAGTCTCATTGTTGGTTGAAATCCGGCCGATGATGGTGGCGTCACCTGCAAACTTCACAGCAGAGTTCTCCCCATGTTGGGGGATGCAGTTGTGGGTGTACAGCGTGAGGACTCTCCTCACATCTGCTGCAATAGTGACAGTGGCCGGTCCTCTGGAGGTGGAGTAGACGTTACAGCTGACTCCTTGTTGAGGAGATCAAAGTGAGCATAGAAGGTGTTCAGTTCATCTGGTAACAATGCCTCACACATGATGGGGGACCTCCTGCTTTTGTAGCCTGTGATGTTTTTGATGGCCTGCCATATATCTTTGGTGTTGAGGTCTCTCTCCAGTCTCTGCTGATGTCTCCGCTTCGCCTCCTTGATGCCAGCTTTCAGTCTCGCTCTGGTGGTGCTGTAAGCTTCCTTGTCACCAGACTGAAAAGCTCTGGACAGAGCCCTCACCTCTCCATTCATCTAGGCCTTCCGATTGGGGAATGATTTTATCGTTTTAGTGATCACCACATCATCAACACATTTGCTGATGTATGATGTCACTGATGATGTATATTCCTCAAGGTTGATGTGGCTCTCCTGGGCGGCGGCCTCTCTGACCACGCTCCAATCTGTGCTCCCAAAATAGTCCTGTAGAGCTGCTGTAGCCTCATCTGTCCACACTTTGACTGTTTTAATTGTTGACTTGACCCTTTTAATCAGCTGGGTGTAAGTGGGCTGAATAAGCAATATGGTCTGATTAACCAAAATGCGGATGGAGGAGGGCTTTGTAGCTGCCAGGAAGACTGGTGTAGACGTGGTCCAGCGTGTTTGTTCCTCTGGTGGGGATGTGGACGTGCTGTTGGAGTTTAGGTAATATCGTTCTGAGATCTGTTTGATTAAAATCGCCAGCATCACCATGGATGCACTGGTGGGTAAGGAATAAGCCAGTAAATTCAGAAAATTCTAAAACGTTCAGAAACTTGGAGCACCACACTGTATAGCATACTTCCATGGCAATAATAAAGGCCATATAATATTATGTATTAATATAAATGTACGAGCTATGGCTGCAGAACATTGACTGTGAAGCCATAAGGTAAGCTTTGAGGTTCTCAAGAGCAGCAGGCCTGTAGAAAGTCCAAAAACATATTTAAATTATAAAAGAAAAGGCTGTCAACGCTGAGAATGTCTTCTCAGGACATCAGTCTGTATGTGAGGTCATATTTTAAAGGTTCTTCCTTTTGAGGACCACATAAAATGTTCTTACCTTATGGCTTCACAGTCAATGTTCTGCAGCCGTACTGAAAGCATGTATGTGCTATATATGTTGAATAAATGTTGTATGGAAAAGTTTGTATGGATTGTCTTTGTAGCCTACGCCGTCACCTACACCGTCACCTACACCGTCGCCTGACATGCACCTCCTCAAAAATTTAACTACACGTCGAGTCGACGCGGACCCTAAGCTCTGTGATTGGTCGGCTGGGTAGCTTCGCAATGCCTCCGAGCTGACAGGAAGTACCCAGTGCTTTGAAGTAACATTTACTAGCGGCGAAAACACCGGCTGTCAATATATTTTACCGTCACAACCCAAGCAAAATGACTCGTTCCGCTATCAGCAAACCAAACTTTGGCCATAATTCAGGCGCGGTGAAAAATGTTGTAGTCTATGGGTTTCGCACATGAGCGTAGCAAAATGACTCGCTAGCGTCCTCTACAGAGCAGCCCCCCGACAAAGTTTCACCTACATGTTTGAAATTTCTGTGGTAAGTCTATCATGTCCAGATGTACAAAAAAGCCTCTTGGAGCCATTGCCTAAACCCAACAGGAAGTCGGCCATTTGGGATTTAATGGTCGTTTATGTACTTTAACAAATTCAGTCTACATGTTCACATCTGTACCAAATTTGGAATGTACTATAAAAGTCCCGCCCTGAACACATCCATATGCCAATATTCACCAAAAGTCACAGCGCCACCTGCTGGCAACAGGAAATGATAGTTTTATGCTGTAATGTACTACTCATAGCAGGTTGGACAACTTCAAATCTGTCCTAGAAAACCCATAAAGCATTGATGAAGCTATGTTGTAAAACTCGTCAGACTCGGTGTGGCGGCAAAGTTAAACTCGCCATGACACAGGAAGTTGTAATTTGACTGTACATGCTCACATCTGTACCAGATTTTACACGTTTGATTAGAGTCCTGCCCTAAACACAT